TGCCACAGGGACAGGAGTTTTCTGCCTCACCACTGTGTCTTCATTGCAGAGAACGGTGACTGGTACATACTAGGTACTCAGTGATTATCCATTGAATAGAGCAATGAGTGAGTGAGTCAAGGAAACATCTGAAAAGAGCTCTGAGAGACCGCTCCACTAGCTCCTCTATTTCAAGGTCTGGTCTTCTTGGTGGTTGAGAAAATGGGTTGTTTTTTTTTTTTTTTTTTTTTTTTTTTTTTTTTTTTTGCTTGCTTTTGTTTTTGTTTTTGTTTTGTGCCAACCCTTTTACTTTTAATGTGTTCTTCTCCTTGGAAGCCTAATGCCCAGACTGGACTGTCAGTGCCACAGGGACAGGAGTTTTCTGCCTCACCACTGTGTCTTCATTGCAGAGAACGGTGACTGGTACATACTAGGTACTCAGTGATTATCCATTGAATAGAGCAATGAGTGAGTGAGTCAAGGAAACATCTGAAAAGAGCTCTGAGAGAACTCTCCACTAGCTCCTCTATACCAAGTTCTGGTCTTCTTGGTGTGGTATGGTTTGGGGCTCAGGCTAGACTGTCTAGAAACCTGCCACCCTGAAGCCAGGCGAGAGGGAGAGCTAAGATTTGTAGAGTCTGTTCCTTTTCTCCCTGGTTTTCACTGAGGGGTGAGCATCCCTCGGAACTGGGCTCAGGGAAATGTGCTGGGATTGGTGTATGGCCTTGGTCAAGGCCTGGGCCCGCGGCTTATTGAAGAAGCTCCTCGCCAGGCAATGATCAGTTACCCTGAGACAGCCAGCTGTCACATTCCACACCGCTCCCCCAGCGAGAGTGGAGTCTGGCCTTTGCATTCCTCAAAGAACACTCAACCCTGTGAGGACATAATACCCACTTTTACTAAATAAAATAGACAGAAACAGTACAATAGAAACCAGAAAGGCCTCTTTCTGCTTAAAAAAGAAAAAATAGCTTGGAGTAGCTGTGTCTGAGCTCCAGGTAGTCAGCAGGGAAGATATTTTCTGATGTGGAAGCTGACGTGTTTGGGGGCTTTGCCTCTCACGCAGAAAGCCTGACATAGGCTTGCGGTGAAAGCGGTATTTGAAAACTGACATTTCGCAGTTACTTGACTTACAGAAAAGGAACTAATCTGTTTAAAGAAGCGATGATGACAGAGGAGGAAGGGCTTATCTCAGCACAAGGAGGGCAGAGGGTGGTAGTTTTACTCAGGATCCTTGAATTTCAGAGAATTAAGCCATTCTTTGAATTTTACTGTCTGTCTGTCCTTGGAAAAACATTATTATCTTTTCTTCTGTTTTCATCTACTCTTTTATTTATTTAATTTATTATTATTTTTCAATTTGACCAGAAAGCAACAGAGAGAGAGAGAGAGAGAGAGAGAATGATATTGAGAAAGCAAGCCACTGGGCCTGGGACTTGAACCGTAGTCAGCCATGAGGGAGTCCAGTGCCTTAACCACCGTGTTGCCTCCTGGCCTCTCATCTGCTGTTTTTATCGGTGTTTTTAAAATGTCATAAACAAATTAATCTTTAACATCTAAATCTATATAATTAATAGGTAGAGAACTAAGTGGTAACTAGAAAGGGTGAAAACTTCATTGTTGAAAGTCTGCATTTGGGACCAGCAGTTAGCGTAATGGCTATGTCACTGGATTCCCACGTAGTTGACCATGGTTCACGTCCCGGACCCGGTGGCTTAAAACTCACGCCAGGCGCATGTGCGTGCGTGCCAAGATCGCGAGAGGAGAATGGAGGAGAAGGGATTGCGGCGTGACCATCCCCCTGGAGGGTGATTTCTCGCTTTCTATCTCTCTGTCTCTCTCTGTCTGGTGAGCACACACGCCCTATAGCGAAAAACTCAAAAAAAAAAAAAAAAAAAAAGAAAGTCTGCATTCAATGGAATTGCCTAGTGGCATATGTCATTCTTCAATGTTACAGGAAACACATTAAATATAGTAAATACCTGGTGTTCAGAGGGTACAACGTACATTTTAAAGCCCTGAGCTAGACTTGGGCAAACTGAATAGATGCAGAGGAATGCTCCCTAATCTGCCAATGAGAAAAATACGAAATTCACCAAAAATTATCTTTTGAGAGAGATATTTTTGCTGTAGGGTGCGTACACTTGCTGGAGACACAGAGAGAGACAGAGACAGAAAAAAATAAGTCATCCCCTTGGCGGGATGGCCACACCACGATCCCTTCTTCTTCATTCTCCTCTTGAGATTTTGGGCACACACACACATGAGCGTGGTGTGAGTTTTAACACGCTGGGTCTGGGACTCAAATTGCGGTCGACTACGTTGAGTCCAACGTTATAACCATTACATCAACTGATGGTCCCCACCAAAAACAAAATTTTAAATATAAAATGAGCTCAATAAAGGGAAATAATTAGGCTCCAGAAACAAATTAAGGAAACTTAGATAAGAACAGTTAGTGACCAAAAGCTAGCTGAACTCCCAGAGCTCTAAGACCCAGTGTAGGGAGATCCGTGTCTGAGGGTAACATACGTAGCCATGGGGTGGGTCCACAATGCATGTTGGAGGCGGGGGTTGGGGGAGCTGACATAAATGCTAACACAGAGCCAGAAGATTCTACAGACCTGCTGGTGAAATGTTGTAGTTTGGTTCTGCCTTTAAAAAAAAAAAAAAATTTAAAGAGGATTTTGGCATAGGGCACTTGCGCTCCCCAGAGAGAGAGAGAGAGAGAGAGAGAGACAAAGACAGACAGACCCAATGAGAGGGAAAGTGAGAAGTCACCTGCCAAGGGGATGGCCATGCTGCAATTCCTTCTCCTCCATCTCCTCTCTGGATTTGGGGCACACATGCACATGTGCCCAGTGTGATTTTCAAGCCACCTGGTGCAGGGCTTGAACTGCAGTTGGTCATGTGGAAGGGTTTTTAGTAGAGATTGATGCTTGCTGACCCACCCACAAAACATTTTATTAGGTCGTTGGGAAAGTTATGACATATTTTCTTACGCCATGCATCCTCTTCTCTCCTCAACTGTTCCCTACAATCCCAAGTCATCATTCTGTCCCCTGGTCTACAGGTCAGCAACGGGGGTAAGGGTGTTAGTAGCCAGCAGCCTGGGAGTGCCATAGGTAACTGACCCATGCTGGCTTTGACCTCATTTCCAAGGGACTCTAGTGACCTACCCTGACCAGCATTATCGTGTCTGCTTGTCTTGATTTCAGATAATACATCGTGTAGCTAATTTTCTTTTCTTTCAAGATTTTGAAAGAAGCCATCATTTCATTGTCAATTTATGGTAATATAATGATGGACTACAATGTTAATGTAGTGTGATTATTGATCATGTAATAAGCAGTGGGCCTGATGCCCTTTAATATTTTTGAGTGAGCAGGGCAATGAAAATGAATAGAATAATAGGATTTTTTTTTGGTATGTTTGTTTTAAACATCCCTTTATCTGAAGATGAAAAAGGGGGGGAGGGTGTTGAGAAGATGAGAAACTACATCAGACAAGAACATATCTTCCCTTCCTTGTTCTGCAGCCCTACCATGAAATTTCATACCCTTTTATTAAAGCTAAGGGATTAGAGTGAGCTGAGAAAAAGGATGAGGCATCCACACACAACCAAGGACTGCATTCTCCTCAGTGTAACCACTTAAGGGTAACAACTTATTCCACTGATACTAAGTTGCAGAAGGAAGGAGTAGAATTTATCAGTAATAAAGAGGAGACAAAAATAAATTGAAAGTATTTTTTTAAACTAAAGTAATGACTCAAACTGAAGTTGGAACTCAACAGGTAAGTAAAATACAATCTCAGGCAGAAAGATGAGAGAGCTCTTAAAGCCTGGTTAAATCTTTGGGGGAGACTTAAGACATGTCTGCAGAGAGTTTGGCTCAGTTGTCTTAAGGTACAGTTTATTTTTAGGATGTCTTCTGATCATTTGAAATGAGGCCCAGCCTGTTCATTCTTGTTTGGATTTTGCAATAACCTCTTTCCTCCAGAATAAGTCTATTGAAAATAAAATGCTTTTCAAGGGCAGATGTTTCCAAAGAGGTTGGACTACATCACTCCTGAGTTCCTTCTGTGATTGACCAATGAATCCTGCTTCATTTAGTAAAAGAGCATTTAGCCCTCTTGAGGTATTACATTTAAAGCTCAGCTGGTGGCATGGTCGTTAGGGCGGCTGGACCCCAATGGCTTGAAAAACACGCCGGCCACATGTGTGTGTGTGCACCAGAATTCTGAGAGGAGAATGGAGGAAAAGGGACTGCAGCCTGCCCATCCTCCCACGCCTTGTCTGTCTCTCTCCTGCAGGCAAAAACTTCAAAAATATAAAAACTAAAAAAGAAAGAAATATTATGTTTAAGACCAATTTAAGAGACTGATGTTATTATATATTTTATTTGAAAACTAACAAAAATGTGTTTATTAATATTCCTAAACTGTGGTAAGTATTCATTTAAAATGTAATTACCAATACATTATTAAAAAAAAAAGTTAAACCACAGAATCAAATACAGTTTGGATCCCAAATGCTAATAACATTTAAACTTTTTTTTTTTTTTTTTTAAGAGAGAGAGAGATTTTGCTATAGGGTGCATGCAATCACCGGAGAGATAGAAAGAGACAGAGAGAGACAAAAAGCAGGAAATCACCCCCCGAGGGGATGGCCACACTGCAATCCCTTCTCCTCCATTCTCCTCTCAGGATCTTGGGCATGCACGCACACGCGCCCGGCATGAATTTTAAGCCCCCAGATCTGGGATTCTAACCGTGGTCAAGTATATGGGAGTCCAGCAATGTAACCATTATGCCATCTGCTGATCCCAACATCTGAACTCATAATAGCAAAAAACAATGGAGTAAATAGCACACAACTGCTCAAATGCTCTAAGGTTTTGTTTTTGTTTTGCAGGTGAGTGTTCATTTCAAGCACGTGGAAAGCTGTACACACACTTTGGAGAATATACACTAATCATTTCAATCAATGAAAAATGTGTCACTTTCTCTCCACTTACCAGGTTGTCGGGGTAGCCCAGGCCATCAACAAGAAATCGGGCAATGGTGGGACATTCACAGAAAAGGACGAAAAGGTACAGAAACTGTGGCCAGCATGATGCTAACTTTAGAAGTTGCTGTTCGTAGTGTACCAACGTTTAGGAGTAGCTGTTGCTGAAGTTGTCGATCACAGGAAACATTACAGTTCAAAAGATTCTGAAATGTTGAAAAGTGTATCTTTGACTCGCTACGATTTCGATGTGATGTCATCAGATTCTGTTGTCACTGTCTACCAAACCTCCCCTAGGGATTTGTGCGTGTTGGGGTCCCAGAGGGTGACTTACGGTATTTTAACTATCTCATTTACCTTTCATCACTGTTTTAAAGAGATTGGACCTTGAGTAAAAACGCTTGAAAGCGCTGCTGCAAGTTCAGCACTCCAGGCTGGCTCAAAATTGGAATTACCTCGTAGTGAAGCAAATTTCCCCATGTTTTATAAGTTTTGCACACAGACGGTGGGGCGCCGAGGTGTGAATTCAGGCTGGATGGTGTGAATTTAGCTTCAGAAAGAGCGGCAGTCAGCATTATTTTATTGCTCTTCGCATCCAACTCTGGAGGGAATACATTCCGCACACCCCACTGACAAGCTTTCTGTTAAAATGAGCCCTTAAACCTGTTTGTAGCTTCATTGTCTCAGTAGGTTTTATTATTTCAGGTACTCAGTATGTCTTATAGTCTGCTGAATGGCTGCTATTCCAAACTCCTTGTTATTTATGTTGCTCTTCTGCAAATCAGTAGTCACTTTTGAATTTGGAAGACGTGCAAGCAGGACAGAGTTATTTTTGTCTGAGTGCTGGAGTCTGGATTAGTACCTGTGTTGGTTCCCATGTTTTAATTGCTTGAATGCAAACGAGGACTTTTTTAAATGAGAGGAACAGACATCTAGCCTCCTGTTCTGCTACGGGAGAATAGTTAGTGGGAAAACATGGTCTTCAAACTGCCTTTATTCCATCGTGTTTATAATCCATTAATGCAAAGCCCTCTAGAGTTGATTTGCAATTTTTAGACTCTCTCCCATCTTGAGAAAACATATCCATAATTCTGAAAAGAACATGCCATTTAAATATTTATTTCGATCAATAATTAATATAGTTGTAAGCACATCACCCTCGTGTACTGCAATGAGGTTGATAGATCCATGTTAAAAAGAACATATAAAAACTAGTATTTGCAACTTTAAATCATCTTTAACTTTATAATGTTATTGCCAGTCTTCTCTTAACAAGTATGTGTGTGAACTTTCATTAGTTGCGGTAATAAGTTACAAGGTATTTATGTAGCCTCAGGATAGAGTCAAGTCTTTTTTTATTATTAAAGTTTATTTATTTTTCCACCACGTGTGAAAGGAAGACAGACACCCCCATCAGAGTCTCACACCATGCTCCTCCCGATGGCCCTGGAGCCAGCCAAGGTCTCACACATATGGGGATGGTCAGGCAGACCTCAGGGCCTGAACCCCGGTCCCTGCTATGTGACTCCAGCATGGGCAGCAGCCTCCCTATTACCTTCGTTGCTGCTACCTACTCCAAACCTACATCCAACTCTTAATGTCATGCACAGACAACACCAAATTTTCCATTGCAATTTCAAATGCCATAAAGAAGTCTTTATCTTGGTCCTCTTCTCTTTCTTCTACTAATTTATACCGAATATTTGACCTTAGGAGACTGATAACTACTAATCATGTCTCTTAGCTACCACTTGGTTTGCATCAGATCCTAACTTTATATAAACAAGCATCACCCTTTTTGCCTTTTTAACATACCTTAATATGCTTTATATTTATACTTTTATATGTATTTATATAATATACTTTAATATGCCTTTTTAATATTTTAATTGTCAGGATTTTTTATGCCTTTCCTGTTTCAGGTAACAGAACTATTGGATTGTCAGAGAAGCCATGATGTCTTTTTTTCCTATGCAAAAATGCATCAAGACATTCTTGACAACCTAATAGATAGCTTTATAGACCTTTTTATTTTTTCTTTTTGTAAATTCATAAAAGAGCATGTGTGCCCATGAGAAAGAGCTCAGTCATGCCGTGATCCTCCTCCCCCAGTCTTCCAGCCTGAGCACATGTGCCTGGTGTTTCCAGGCTGAGCATACCAGGGACTCCCACTGCAGCTGGTCTGTGGCTTCCAGCTCCACAGTCCGGTATGCTCTGACTGTGCCACAGAGCCTGGGCCTCAGAAGTGGTTCTTATGTGTTCTCTAAGACTCTGTCTTATCTGTTCTCTAGGACTTTGCTGCTTACCTGGCATTCTGTGGTATTGTTCTTCATAATGCTCAACTCTATGAGACTTCTCTACTGGAGAACAGGAGAAATCAGGTATGTCTGGTTACTAAAGGGAGAATATAACAATTGAAGAAGAAAAAAAAAGGTTAACTATTTTTTAAATCATATTTTGAATGTATGTGGCTAAAAATTCATGACATGCAGGCTATATGGGTTATTTCTCTGCTTAACTGTTCAACCTTATCATCAGTTCTTTTTCTCGTCTAAGCTTCCGTAAGTTTGAGCAAAAGTTTTACTGTGCTACTTTCTGTCAGTTCCATTTGTTTTGCCTGGAAATTTTTTCTTTCCCACTTCATCTGAACAATTTCTACTCATCTTCCAGACCTCAGCTAAGATGGTATTGCCTACAGTCGATTTTCTGTGATAACTCTTTCTCTTTCATTCAGCACATAAATGTTTTATGAAATTAGAAGAAATTCTGTCATGTTCAGAGGAAAGAGAAATTAAACTATGAAAACACAGAGAAAACTCTTAACACTCTGGTGACGTTCAACAATATTTACTAAACTCTGAAAATATGGATCGTGTTGAGTAATATCGATTTCAGAAGTTTGAATAGCAATAGTAACAATGTGTATTATGAACCTGAGACTGTTCAGAGTGCTTTATAAATATTACATTAGTTAATCCTCATAACACCCTTTGATTTGCGTGCTATTATTACCTCTGTTTTTAAGAAACTTACTGTAGGTCACAAAGTTAATAAGAAATAAAGTCAGGATTAAAACTGAACACTCTCGGGACCAAAAGATAGCATAATGGTTATTTATGTCACTGGATTCCCACATAGTCCTCTGTGGTTTGAGTCTTGGACCTGGTGGCTTAAAACTCATGCCAGGTACATAGGTACATTTGTGCACAAAATCCCAAGAGGAGAATGGAAGAGAAGGGATTGCACTGTGGACTTCCCACTGAAGGGTGATTTCTTAATTTCTGTCTTGCTCTGTCTCTCCAGTGAATGCCTGCACACTATAGCAAAAATCTCTCTCTCAAAACAAACAAACAAACAAACAAAAAACAAAAACAAGATCTGGCAAGTGGCGTGGACTCCCATATGACCGACCATGGTTCAAGTCCTGGACCTGGCAGCTTGCTTTCACTTTCCCCCTCTCTCTGTCTCTCTCTGGTCAAATTAAAAGTTAATAAGTAAGGTTAAATAAAATAATTATTTAAAAAGAAAAAATAATGAAAATAAAACAAAAACAAAAAACGAAGGCTGAACATTCTGACTTCAGAATCTGTGATCTTAACCATTCTATTAAATATATTAGCAGTCGATAGGGAATTTTGTTAGTGAGCAGAAACAAATTGAATTCAAATTTGTTCATAACTTGCTGGCTTATGTAAACAACTTACAACTCATATAAATCATATTGTTATAAGCAATTATTAAATAATAAACATTCATTTTCTTTTCTTTTTCTTTTTTGGTCTAGGTGCTGCTTGACCTTGCTAGTTTAATCTTTGAAGAACAACAGTCATTAGAAGTAATTCTGAAGAAAATAGCTGCCACTATTATCTCCTTCATGCAGGTGCAGAAATGCACCATTTTCATAGTGGATGAAGATTGCTCCGTGAGTACAGAGTATGACTTTTTTATTTTTAGAAAGACAGAAACATATTCCTTGGGCTAGCAGGTGGAGTGGAGGTTAAGGCTCTGGGTTCCATGAGGCCAACTGAACAGTTCAGTCCCCTATTGGCAGCTTGAAAATCATGCCAGGCACATGTGCATGTGTGCCCAAAATCCTGAGAGGAGAATGGAGGAGAAGGTGGGAGTGGGCACAGAGACGGAATATTTAACAGATAAAAGACTATTAAGTCCTCTGTTAAAAAAAATTCAATAATTTCTGCTTTATAAAAATAAAAAAAAATTAGAAAAATTGGAGGGAGACCTGTAAGTCTCATATCCTTTACCAACAGTGGAAAACCACCTAACTGCTCTAATTGGTAGATTCCAGTCTATTGATTTGCAAGATGAAGAAACATTTTTAGTTGTGTGAGGAAAGGTGGATGTTCTTAGACAGTACCGGTTACTTAAGACAGGTCAGCTGCCATGAGTTTTCTGTTAGCATCCACACATATCTTTGACTCCTAGTAAGATCACAAATTGCCCTTTAGACTAAAAATATATTTCAAACATGTTGAAAATTTCAAAATCTATGCTTATGTCCATTTAAAATATCCTTCTGATCTATTCAAAACATTAATGTATGGTTTTCCAACAAAAAGGAAACAAGTGTTAAATTATACCACAAATATTCCTAGTAATAAAAATAAAGCATTCAAGGGAACCAGCAGTTAGCGTAATGGCTATGTCGCTGGACTCCCACGTAGTCGACCGCAGTTCGTGTCCCGGACCCGGTGGCTTAAAACTCACGCCGGGCGCGTGTGCGTGCGTGCCCAAGATCCCGAGAGGAGAATGGAGGAGAAGGGATTGCGGCGTGACCATCCCCCCTGGGGGGTGATTTCTCGCTTTCTGTCTCTATGTCTCTCTCTGTCTGTCTGGTGAGCGCACGCGCCCTACAGTGAAAATCTCTCAAAAAAATAAAAAAATAAAAAATAAAGCATTCAAAAGCAAAAAACAAACAAATAAAATAATCAGGGCCCCAGCCTAAGGCATTTTTTTTAATGCAGTTTCTTTACTTTAATCCAGGAATCATTGCTTCTGGAATATTTCTTTTTAATATAATTATTTGTTTTTCTCTTTTCTTTAGTTCTTCCATAATAATAGGCAGGTTTAATAGGAAAGAGTCCGAATATTACCACTTGTATGGTCCAGTTGTAATTCACATATGATATCTGATTTGATAGTTTGGGGGGAGAGAAATAGAATAATAGAAGATATTCAATTCTTAATTTATATTTAAAATGTTTTCATTGGTTTAGATGTTAAGATTACTATTTGACCCCATGTCATCTGAATTATTTTGTGAGTATGTCAGAATAATGTGTTGATTAATACAGATTCTCCTTAGTAGGATAGCAAGTGAGAATTTGTGATGATAACAAGATAGTATTTCCATGAATCTAATTTTGTTATTTTCCTCTGTTATAAAATTCAGTTTACAGAGATGATTACAAGATAGCGACTATCCTTTTAAAGTTCAGGTCAGAATTAGTTAATGTGATATGTCCGTCTTTCATTTTTGCTCTGTGACCTGCTCTTTAGTACGTAATTTCTGAAAGTTACAGATGAGGTAGTCCTTTTTTTGGACAACTTAAATATCACTTTAATTAACATTCAGTGCATACTTTGCCAGTTAACATCTATTATGGTAGCAAAAAGATTTGGGTCGATGGCACTTTGAACCATAGCTCAGTATTTCCATTAATATATTTTGCTCACTTTTTTGATAAGTTCAGTTGTCATGTTTAGAGAAGAAATCAGGTGACTTGAAGTTTATTTATATTACAATTATTTATCAGCTAATAATATTTCAACATGAACAAAAATCAAAATGTAATAAAAAAAATGTACTCAGTTCTATTCTTTTTTTTTTCCTTTTTTTGGAGAGGTTTTTGCTATAGGGTGCATGCGTTCCCCAGAAAGACAGAGAGAGACAGAGAGACAGAAACTGAGAAGTCTCCCCCAAGGGGGAATGGCCATGCCACAATCCTTTCTCCTCCTTTCTCCTCTCTGCATCATGGGCATGCACACACACGTGCCCGTTGTGAATTTAAGCCACCGGGTCTGGGACTCGAACCGTGGTCAACTACATGGGAGTCCAGCGACATAGCCATTACGCTAACTGCTGGCCCCTGTACTCAGTTCTATTCTGAAATTAAACTATCATTGATTCATTTCTGTGTTCCCTTCCAGTTCTTCTGTTTAGTTGTAAATATAGTTCATATGCAGATACATACTCTGCTTTTTAACATAATTTGAAAAGTATTTCTCAGTGTTGCTAAAAGTCTTCACAGTTATTGTAATGATTTCATAAAATATTCCTGAATGAAATTTCTTTACCTGGGATGTACAGCAGTGTACACTTAACAGCCAGAACTTAAGGATTTTAAATAAGCATAGTGAGATTTTTTATTTTTGTCCTGTCTTGAGCTGTCAATAGGTTCATGTACCTACTATTTGAACAGAATCCTAACCTGTTTCCTGGCTTTAAATTTTAAGCAAAGTTCCTTAGCATTTCTTTGATTTATTAAAGTTAAAACTGCTTTTCTTGAAATTATAAGCTGAACTTGCTGTTGAAAGTAGTTAGATTATTTAAGAAACTTTATGATCAATAAAATGTGGAGGAAAAGGAATGGAAGATAACCGTAGACACCAGAGATAGTGTGGTAGGAGGGCGGGAAGTGGCAGAGGGTCATAAATAGGGGAAAAG